AGGTGGGGGGGGACAGGCAGGGAGGAGGCGGGGGCGGGGGGGCAGGCAGGAAGGAGGCGGGGGGGGGGACAGGCAGGGAGGAGGCGGGGGCGGGGGGACAGGGAGGAGGCCAGGGGGGTACAGGCAGGGAGGAGGCAGGGGGGGGCAGGGAGGAGGCGGGGGCAGGGGGGCAGGGAGGAGGTGGCTGGGCCAAGGCAGGCCTAGTAGTTTCCAGAGGAGACAGAGGGTCGAGTGACCCAGGACACATCCTTTCTGGCAACAGAGGATCAGGAGAAGGGCCCCAGCACCAAGGCGACAAGGGGCTACCCAGGCGACGCCCACACTGGGGGCCCTCGGGGAAAGGGTCCCACGGGCAGAGCGGTGACCAACTGGGGTCGGACCCAAAGAATGGCCAATGTGGGTTCAATCACTCCCTGCGCTGGACGCCCCTTTGTCCCAAAGGGGGAGGGGGTGGGGCCAGAGGAGCTGATGGAGAGGGCGGGGGGTCAGGGCGGGGATGATGGCTACGGTGGCCCCCACTTGGGACGCACAGCTGCTACGCCTGGCGCTGGTGTGTTCCCCCTGAACCACGAACTACGAGGACGAGACCAGACAGAGGAAAGACGCTCAGAGAGGTAAAGCGAGGCGCCCAGGTCGCACAGCGAGGGCGTGAACCAGAGAGGGAGGAGGGTCCAGGCCCTCGACCGCGCCCACAGCCCTTTCAGGAGCAATGGGCACCCCTGCCCCGTGCGGCCCCCTGTTCGGCCTGGCTGCCAAGAAAAGGCACCCCGGAGCCTCGGGACAGATAAGCGCCCCCGAGGGGCTGGTCTCTCTTTCGTCCTGTCTCTCAGGGCAGAGCAGGCCGTCTGGCACTCAGCTACTTCCCCGGAATTCAGTGTTTACGCCGCACCCTTGGGACACGACATGAGAGAAGACTTTAGCCCAAGAAACGAAGGGCAGAGCTTGGGCCACGGCTCAAAATAAGGGAACGCTTTACGGCAAGGGAGGGGTGAGGGGTCGCGGGGCAGAGGGTCAAAGGCGAGCTGGGACGCGCCAGGCTGCGTGTGGCTGGCACCGTGGGCCCCGGCGGCTGGGGGGAGGGGCACCTGCAGAGACGGGAGCCCTGAGGAGAGGGGCCGGGGGCTGTGATGTCCGCGGACCCCAGTCTGTGGCTTCAAATCGCCAGCCTTGTCCCCCGGCCACGCAGACAGAGCACCGAGGCCACAGCGGGAGGCTGGCCCCAACACCGCCACCACCGCGATGAAGGAGGGGACAGCCTCACACGCCCGGTGACAGGTGGACGGTGCCAGCCAGCCACAAGGTCGTTCAGCCATGAAAAGGAGTGAAATGCTGGCACGGGGCGCGGGGACGGCCCGGGAACATCAGGCGGGTCGCGGGAAGCCGGCCGCTCGCCCCCCCCCCCGGCCGGAGGAGGGGAAGGTGCCCGCTGCCGAGTGGAGCGGCTGCTTTGGGGCGGCCGTGTGGCCGGGGGCTCGGTTCTGATGCTGCACAACCCTGATTACACGGAAAACCAGCGGAGGAGGCTCTTCCGACACCAAGTGAGTTACATCTTAGGTAAGGACCGTCCTGCCCCTTCCCCGCGCCCCCCCCGCCCCCCCAGGGCTTCCGGAAGCCGACAGCCCACAAGACCGGCGGCCCCTGCCTCAGCCACAGGCTGCCGAGCGCTCCCTGCACCTGTGATGCACAGGCTTCTGGCCCTAACTCCCACCCAGACAGGTCTACGCAGCAGCTGCCAGGCACATGGGGCGCGTCCTCACCAGCTGTGCGCCTGAGGCACCTGCCCTGACCTCCGTAAGCCTCAGCTTTCTCATCTGTGCAATGGGCAACCCCGGGCTGTGAGCCACTTCTGCCGATGGGGTGACTCCATGAAACACGGGGTGTGGCCCAGGGATGTTCACGGGTGACAGAACCTCTTTGTTTTTCAAACCCTGACCCGGCTGGGCAGGGGGGGGGGGATCAAGTAAAGAATTGAAAACCGAGCTCACTGCTAGGGCTCCAGGCTCTCAGACTTTGCTCGTGGCCGCCGGAAAGCCCGCGGTCCTCAGGATGCGGCGAGGGTCCCGGCGCCCGCACAGCGGCACCCGGGCACGGGGTCTCCCAGGGCTCACACGCGGCCCCACAGTCCTCGGAGGCTGAGCCCCCCTACATCCAGGCCCTCCCGTCTGAGTGACGCGAACGGAGAGGACAAAGTCCCGCGACCGCGAGGGCTCTGGCTGGCGTGGCCGCTCCCCGTCGCCCTCGCCAGGCGCTTCGCCGCGGTCACACCCCTTCCCAGGGCGGCGAGCGTGCGGAACGCCCGGGGCGCAGCTGCGGGAGCAGCGCCTGCCGTCACCGGCCGGGCCCCTGCCAGCAGCACAACGTGTCCCCGGCCAGGGGCCCTGGGAGGCGCCGGCGTATCGGCCGCCCGCTGGCCCACACCTCCAGCCGGGCGCCGGGGCCATCGAGGCAGGCGCCCGCCCTGTGCCCGTGGCCCTCCCGGGAGCTCCCGGCCTGCAGACCTCTCCCCTGCCGGCCTCCGCAAGGCGGAAATGTGTGTTCTGTGGCCACGTCCCCTGATGTGAGAGGTCACCCGGGACGAGCCCCGTGGGCCCGTGGGACCCTCGGGGGTGACCCAGCCCAGGTGCATGTGCCCGTGCGTCGGAAGGACACGGCCAGGGCGGGGGAGGGCGGTGGCGGGCAGGTTCTGCCCCGGGGCTTCACCGCGAGGGGACCAGCAAGCGCCCCCTGCCCGTGCCCGCTGCGTGCACCTCCCAGGCCACCGCGAGGGAGCCTGCCGCGTCTGCGGACACCTGCTGCCCGGGCAGGGCGGGGCTCACTGCGACGTGGCCAGGGACGCGCGGCCGCCAGCAGCCACGCTCGCCCAGGTGGACGGGGCACCCCGGTGGCCGCTCTCCCCGGCCAGCGCCCGCCCCGTCAACCCTGCGCTCAGTCCCTCCCACGTCCTCCTCGGCCCAACGGCCGCAAGGAGGTGAGATTCAGGCCTCAGGGGACCCGGCCCGTCTCGCTCGGGGCAAACGCCCCGTCCGCGGAGCCGCGGCCCCGGAGCCCACGAACAGACACACGTCCTTCCCCGGCAAGGGCCCTGGGACACCAAGCCCCGGATCTTTGGGACAAGACGGATGGCGGGCAGAGACCCCCAGGTCCCTGGTCTGTCCGAGCAGCAAGTCCCCCGGGTGCCTGGAACCCGCAGCGCCCGCCACGGGCCGCCTCCTCCCTGACTTGTGCAACGAGCAGCCCCTGCCGGGACAGCGCGGACAACTGGACGACCACCCCCGGAAGCGCCTGAAGCCAGGGGCACAGAGAGCCTCACGGTACGAAGATCAAAGCTCAGAGACGGGCAGCATTCCTCCAGAGCCACACAGCATGTCACCACCCAAGAGACAGCAGGAGCCGGGGCTCCAAACCTCTGGGGGACACCCACCCACCCACGCTGATCTGTGCCTCAGGGCGTTAGGCAGTAACGGTCGTGGTGGGGGCCGCTGTCCCAGAGACTCCCTCCCACCCCGACTCCGAGCCCAAGCGGGTTTCCTGCCACGCCTGGAGCCGCTGGGCCGCCTGGGAACCGCGGGCTCCCAGGGAGGGGGCCCAGCATACCCACCGTCCCCACCATCCGCCACCAGAGGGAGCGGGAAGCAAAAGCACAGAAAAGGCGGCAAGGCTGGGGGGGAGCCGGGTGGGGGGCTCGCCAGCGGGGGGGGGGGTCCGCAACGGCGCCGCAGCCCCCCCTCCGGAACAAAGCATCAGGAGAGCCACCCGAGCGCG